AAATGAGGCATTTGTTGCATCCAGTGGGGACATAATTACGGATTATAATGAGTTATACTGTCTTTTTACGCATTGCATTGCATCGCGCCTCGTAAACATAAAACCATGTCTGCATTTGTGATCGGAGAAATGACAAACAACAAGCGCTAATCTACACTGCTCAAAACTCGCGTTTGAATCATCAGTGGCAAATCCTTTAAGGAGCAGGTCATATGGGTTTTCGAAAAATCTCTTTTGCAGTTTGTAAGGTAGCTATCCTTCAATGTAAACAGTCTGCAAAGTTGTTAATCAAAAAAGTGCATGATAAATATATTGTCTCTCAAAAGAAAGAGTCGTCTAAGAATCGCCTTAACGAGCCGTTATATTTTCGAATCTTCTGTCTGTTACCGATCTACGTCACTGGGTAACACATTAGCATAATCCCCGCCTGCCCACGAAATACAAACACTCTCTGTGTCGAGAAGATGCTGTGTTCCATGATACCACACCAATACAATTCGATCCTTTTGTTGTGCTTGTCATTTTACCGAGGACTGCTTCTGTAATCTTGCCTTTTATATTTGTTGGCTTCTAATCTTCTTTATTTGGACCAACAAGCATCTCCGAACCACAACCTGTAAGTACAATTGATACGTTGTGTACATTTTCAATTGAGTGCTCAAAATATCTAGGTTTTTTTTGTGCTAATACGTGATGTATACCTAGTGCAGCTGTAGGTTTCCAGGTAAAGAACAATATTACTGTTTTACTGAAATAGTTCTGATAATTCGCTGTGAACCCACTATTTCCTAAGAATGTGTCGATTAATGTAGACTGTCGTTGTTCTAATTACTTCGTTTAATAATAAAGAATGTAATGTAGCGCACATTCTTTATAATCATTGTGAAAGTGCTGGGTGGTCCCCCTTTAAAAATCGTGTTCTGGGGTGTAAAATACACTCTTTCAGTCGGGGTTCCCCTGGTAAATTCGCATTCCAGTGCCTAAATATGACGTTATTGGGGTCGCTACAACCCACGACATCAAAAACAACCACGGACTTGGCAACACAGATGGTAGCTCTCACTAACATGCTCAAGTGCTCATCACAACAGAGTAGGCTTATGGAAGGGAGAGGTTTAAAGACATTTCGCTCAGAACTGAATCAAACGAACCGTTTCGAAATCACAAGCAGCGTCTTCACAACATGGCAACGGCGGTGGCAGCAACAAAGTTACGCCGCCTTTGTTTGCGTGAACATTTGTGCGGCGTTATGCAAATATTCCCACACTGTGACGTAGACATGTGGGGGCATGTTTAAACGAGGCGTTTTAGGAGGGCGTGGACCAGTCTTAACTTTTACAAAGAATATCTCTTTGGGTTTGAGACTTTAGTCTTTGCAACTTCAGGGATCTTATCTATTCACGAACAGCTTGTAACACTCCAAAGAGAAAGGAAAACTTGAAATCGCATCATATGACCCCTTTAATGATGACTTACTCATAAAGACAGACCCTTGCCACCACCTACTGGCATAACAATTTAACTGCACTGACTGGTGCTGATAGCTACTGCTGAAATATTATATAGTCAGTGGCATAAAATGATTGTAAAAGGACAATAATATTGTTAATCATGATTATTTCTGAGGCAATATATCGCAGTGACAGGCCTATGCAGAGCGACTGACCTGCAAAGCACCTGTAAAGTACAGCTGCTATGCACCATAAGTTGCATGCGTGTAAAAGAACAATGACAGGTTTCACTTTAAAACACCCCATCCAAATTGTATAACTAAATTCTAATTAAATTGCAGCAACAAAAACAAAAACTATATATTTTTTAGAGATTTTTTTTAAATCATGAAAATGTATATTGTATTTGTTTTTTTGTATTTTTACTTTTGTCTTTGTTTCAGTTTATGAAGAGAACCTTCAATAAGTGGAGTTGACTGCATGTGCAGCATTAGTCGGAGGTATTATTTGTAATTTGCCTTTTTCCCCTCTCTTTCAGGTTTATGTGGCTGTGTTCTCTATTTCAGGCTATGCCTGGGCCAGCTGGCGTAATCGTTACAAACCCTTTAACCCTGTTCTAGGGGAAACGTATGAGAATGTGCGGGAGGACCATGGTTTCAGTTATATCGCAGAGCAGGTATGAACACTTAATATATAGGACATACAATATGAAGGACTGTATTTGAAATAATTGCATTTTAACACGTGATTTTTTTTTTTCCTCCTCTTTCTAGGTCAGTCATCACCCACCTCTGTCTGCCTGCCATGCAGAGTCTGATAACTTCAGCTTTTGGCAAGGTAACAGTTCAAAATTTTATGAATTCTTCATGTGGGATGTTACGTTTAATATTAATTTCAAAACAGAGATACCCAATAAGCAGTTATAATGGAACACTTTTTGATGCCAAGCAGTGTTGTGTCCTATGACTTTTGGTGTATTTTGGGTCTTTTGAACATCAGACACCCTCTTCCAGCCTAGTTAAAGCTGATCAGACCTCAGCCTCTATGCTAGCAGCAATTGTCGAGGAAAAACACCCTCTTGATAGCCACTTCAAGGCTCTCTCTCCAGCATCTGTGCCGTTCCAGATGGCTCTTCATTTATTTTCCTGTGATGTCAAGTAGAGAGTAGGACCTGCAGAGCGTGTTAATCACTAAACCAACTTAATGCACAGTGTATGGACGTGACCGCGATAAGTTTTAGTGATGCAGTATATCGTGTGTGTTTACATGCATGTTTGTTTACATAAAATATAAATACTTTTCACCAAAATGTAACCGATTATGCTGCCTCTGTCATGTCTTATCTGCTTTCTGTGTCTGAGGTGGGACTCTGGCAGCTCCTCCACACACACAGAGCAGACAGTGATGGGGAACTGAGTGTGTGCGGTCAAGTCTTCAGGTCAATTCATTCATGGAAAAAAACTGTTTGTAATCAGTTGTCAGAAGATGAAAGCGATATCTTTGTTGTAGCATCCTTTCAGATTTAAGGGGATTTCCCACGACTGGCATCAGCGCTGTTCAGTGCATTGAATTGATGTCAATATCAGCTTCAGCGTTACCCAGGTGATGCTTTGAGGGTGCTGATAGGTACTGCTGAAATATTATATAGTCAGTGGCATAAAATGGACGTAAAATTACAATATTATTGTTAATCACAATTATTTCTGAGGCAATATATCGCCGTGACAGGCTTATGCAGGGTGACTGACACGCAAAGACCCTGTTAAGTTTAAAATGGTTCTCAATTACCCCTTTCTCAAAACCATTTAATGTTTTTGGCTGTTATTAAAGACAACATTTGGCCAAGTATCCCAGAAATGTCTTTATTTTCTGTTCAGTGTCAGAAGAGATGTGGTCAGTGTAAACGCACACAATTGCAATGGTTGCGCTCTAGTCATGCCTTGTTCACGCAGTGTGAAACCGCTCTTTAAGTCAGTGCTGCTCAGGCTAAGCAGACACAACCATCTCTTTTAGTAGCTACTAACCTTTGTCTCTAGGTCAGCAATGGTGGAGAATGAAAAGTTGTAGATAAGAAATTTAGGCAGGATCCTTGGCAAAATCCTGTGCTGGTAAAGCTAGTATTGACTAATTAGGTTGGCTTGAGAAAGCCAACATACTGAAATGCTGTTTAAACATATTCTTCTTCCTCTGAGACTAAAATGTCTGATTCTAACTTGTCCTAGAGCTTTGAAGCTTCAACCACCGTCAGACTGTTCAGACTCGTGTTGCTGTATCTTTTTTTTTAGCAACTAGCATAGTGTCTATCTGAAACATGCTGGCTGAGGTGTCCTGCTGAGCAAGATGGTGCCAGTGTGGTTGTTGGTCTGCCGTTGCTCATGTTCTTTGCTGTTGTTTCTGTATGTGCAGGGCCGCTGCTGGAAAATGGGTGCCCTAAGCAGACTTGTATTGTTGTGCCCACTCCCCCAAATATTATGGAAATAAATAAAAAATAATTTAAAAAAACACCCATTATAGGGGTCAAAATAGATCTTTAATAAAACATAAGAGTAAATAAATAAATTGCATTAGATGCTATTTACACCGTGAAAATAGCATATTTTCTTAGCGATATGCTTTTTACACCAAGTGCAAATAGCTGTAGATTCCATTTACACTATGATAAAATAGCAGGATTTTCTGCTATTTATACTACTTATTGGAAATTGTGGCAATTATCTGCACCTCAATATTGTGGTAAATTATAAAACCGTATGAAATCATAACGTATTGAGTGTAAATAATCATTTTAATTCAAATTAAAAAATTGATGCCACCTTATTGGGACAAATAAAGCCCTCTCTACACCTACCCTAACCCTACCCGATACTTTATTTTCAACTTTTCGATTATTTCCTTCATTTTTATTGAAAATAAATGCCTATCCGATGCGATATGACATTTGAAAAGAGAGAAAAAAAAGTTCGGCAAAAGGCGGATTCGGACTCTGGTCGATCGTGTCAAAACGTCTAAATCACTCGCTTTACCATCTACGCCACTGGAGCTGTTGCTTGCCAATAGTCTTTTGTAGTGTTGACTATCCCAATCACATGTAGGTGTACGGAGTTACTGTTAATAGCTTCTGCCAACAAGGCAGGCTATTTTAGACACTCAGAAAATCAACACTGATATACGTCATCTGCTGGAGCATTCCAAATTTCAAAATTTACAAAGGCACACTCCTGCTTTTTTTGGAGGCAGAGTCGTCAATGAGCTCATCATATGATAATTCAGAATCAGAAAGAGCTTTATTGCCAAGTATGTTTGCACATACAAGGAATTTGTTATAGTGTCACAAGCTTCCAGTACACGGAGACAACAACAACACACAGATAATAAAAATCATCCCATAATTAAAAATCATAATTAAAACATGAATTAACGTTAATAAACGTTATTAACGTCAACCGCCAAAAAAGTTTCACAGGAATATGAACATACCTGAAAGGGATGCACGGGCTTCATCTTGGGATTTTTTACTTTTTCTTTTCTCGGCGCTGGACTGCTGATGTTTTGTTTTCGGGCATAGGCCTAGTTGTCCATCAATTATGATCATTTGCAAACATGAGGTGAGGGCGGGTGTGGATGCGGGAATGTCACGTCACGTGTGCTTAGCCTACTGACTACAAATGCATTTTTTATAATTCTGTATATGTTTATATTTGTATTTATCTATATGCATATGTTAATAGTAATATAGAACAAAAGTTTTTTTGTTTGTTTTTTGAGCAACTGGGATGGCGCCCCCCCTGGGAGTTGGTGCCCTACGCAAATTGTGTACTCTGCGTACAGGGAGTGGTGGTACTGTGTTTGTGTTATCAATGTGTATATGTGCACAAGGAATCGGTACCTTGTCCTCCTATGATCGCCAAACCCTTCTTGATATTCAGTCCGCTGTCACTGAACTGTGTGCTCAATGTGTAGAGCAGTATTTCAACACGTGCTATTCTTCGCTGTTTCCTGAGGCCACCTGCCGCGTTAGTTGCTCATTCTATCGGTAAAGACGCCACAGAAAGCACGGAAAACGGGATGGCTTTTTGGTCAGGATCAGAAGATCCTTGCCAAGGATCCTTGTCAGGGTTATGCGACCTGCATGGGGGGGAAAAAGTTCTCTCTTCATCGCTATACTGTCTACTGCCTGTCCTACCAGATGAGGCTACAACTGGTTGCGCTATAGTGCGACCACGGATCATCAAAAGAGGTGCCAATCTACAAAATCTTCCATCGCTGGAATATGCGAAAACGTCAAATGGATTTGTGGAAGATCATACTCGTGTTGGCAATGGTAAACTCGAGACCTCTTCATAACAAAACTTTTATTTTAAATCCTTGCTCTGGACTCTGGTAAATCTGCCATTTTAATTTTACTTGATCTTAGTTCTGCATTTGATTCAGTTGATCACACTACTCCGCTTAATCTTAAGTAAAGGTGATGATTGGAAAGTCCTCTCCTTGTGCACCACTCAAATATGTGGTACCTCAGGGGTCACTTTTGAGTCCTATTCTGTTTGTATATGCTCCCCTTGGGTTCTATCATGAGGAAATATAATATTTTGTATCATTGCTATGCTGACGATACTCAGATTTACATCCTCCTTAGATCTGAGAACTCTTACTATGAACTCCTCAAATGTTTTACAGATATTAAATGCTGGACAGCAAGAAACTTTCTCCAATTAAATGAAAGCAAAACTGAGATTGTTGTTTTTGGTAGGGGTCGACCGATTATCGGCGCCGATATTAAGCATTTTTATGATTATCGGTATCGGTCATTTTCAAAACCGATTCACCGATAAAATAACTTAATTTTGAAACGCGCTATTTGGCTCTGATGCAGCCTGTCAGAACTCACCACTCTGTGGCCTAAAGCAGTCTCCGCCCACCGCTCATCTGATTTGTTGGGAGTCATGAGTCCGACCAATCAGTGCGGAATTCACTCTCACTCCGAAAGCACTTGCTATAACTGGAGCTGCTTCAGTGATCACGCGTCAGTTGTCTCTCAAAGGTAAGGCAGCAGCAGACGTTGCTTAAGTTGCAATAGATCCCAATCCACTAACGTTACACTGAAGATGCAAAACACCTCAATATTATCTATGATTCCCGCGATGCGGAAAACGCGGACGGAATCGCGGAATCCAGTCATATAAATGGAATTTACTGTATGACGCGGAATGTCACAGAATTTGTCAAAGTTTGGATGAATTAATCAAAAGTAGGTCAGTACACTTAAATAGTCGCAATATGGACTAGTATCTGTAAATATTAAGCCGCAAAAATACTAATTAAATATGAATCCAGCATGTTCCGATCCGGTCTCTGTGTATGTAAATGGCACAGACGAGCGGTTTTGTTTTCTACGTTTTTGGGCCTTCTGGTGCTGTCTCTGTGAATTTTGAAAAACAGATAAGTGCAGTGGCGCAGAGCAGCTAAACCTAAAAAAAAAAACTTAACCTATGCTCTCATTTAAGGATTTGGAGATTATCCATGCATTCATTTCTTCCAGACTTAGACTTTTGCAAAACCCTCTATATGGATCTCAATCTTTATTGTATCGCATACAGTTGGTTCAAAATGCAGCCGTGAGGTTGCTGACTGGCACTAGGAGACGGGAAAGCATCTCCCCAGTCCTAGCATCTCTTCATTGGTTACCAATGCAGTATGGAATCCATGTTAAGATTTAATTATTTGTTTTTAAAGCATTAAATGGTGTAGCACCATCGTATCTGGCCGTTGGACAGTTACCAACAATCTTCTCGAACTTTCAGATCCTCTAATAAACAACTCCTGCATGTTCCCCACTCTCGTTTGAAGTTGAAAGGGGATCATGCTTTTTCTGTAGCTGGTCCTAGACTATGGAATAGCTTACCTCAGGACATTAGATCTGCCCCTTCCATTACGGTTTTTAAATCATGGCTGAAGACCTGTTTGTATTATCTGGCGTTTGGTTGAATTGTGTTTTGTGTACTGTAATGTGTACAATCTCTTTTATTGGTTATTTGTTGTTTTTGTAGTTTTATTTTCTTACTCCTTGTTATTATTGGTTTTGTACAGCACTTTGGTATACACTAGTTGTTTTTAAATGTGCTATATAAATAAATTGACCTTGACCTTGATCATGCTAGCAATGTGATAATATATAATGGCTGCATATCAACATTTTAACAACCATCCAAAACAATTTAGCAACACTGAAAGCAGCGCATTAATATGGAACGGTGATTAAACTGACTTGGAACTACCTGCGCATTAAACTGTTTTAATGCTCACCTGCCAGCTAATCAGACCATGGTATAATATTAGATAATTAATTAGGAAAAAAAACAAAAACAATAATTACTAAAATTGACCAATGAAATACAGCTTTTTAAAAAAAAAAGTTGAATTAACATTATACATAATGTTCCCTTTTAATTTTACATTTGACTGAAATGCGTTATTAAAGCTATTAAAGAAGCTGTTTCTCAGTCTGTTTGTGTGATGAGGGCAGGTGGTCAAACAGTCTATGACACAGGTGGGTGGAAACATACAGCAATGTTTCTGGGTGCCTTCTGCAGGTGTTCTGCATAGACAGTGTTTTCACATTTAGTTTTAAACATTTTTTTTTTTTAAAAACCCAGTTGACAAACTCTAAGACATTACCCTAATTTCATGCACAGCAAATATATCTACCCTGGCCTACATAAGCTGGTGGAGAGATGATCTCTCACTGAGAGAACCACTGTTACACTATAACCCACAATGCTCTATTGTATCAAGACTATCTCTCTACCCAGATACATATTGCATAGGATGGTCTTGAAGATATGTTGTGAAGGGTGTAATCTAATCGCAATGGTTTATAGCTCTCCTTACAGAGGCAGTCTGTTGAGAGGCCATGGGTGGCTCCACTGATCTCTGATTCCCCGGTAACACTTTAGTATAGGGACCAATTCTTACTATTAACAAGTTGCTTAATAGCATGCCTTTTATCAACATTAATAAAATGCTTATAAAGCACATATTCTGCATGACCATATTCTACATCCCTAATCCTACCCAATACCTAAATTTAAAAACTACCATACTATTAATAAGCAGCAAATTAGGAGTTTGAGGCAAAAGTCGTTTGTTTTGTTAATGGTGAGAAGTGGACCTTAAAATAACGTGACCGATCCCCGTTGTCGAGTACTGCACACTGGCCTTCCAGTGGTGCATTTGTTGCCACTAGCAAAAAAATTACACTGCCAGTTCTTGCTTGGACAGTTATAGTTTGCTAACGGCTTGTTTTGTATGTGCTATAAATGCAGCATTTGGCTGGTCAATGTAGGGCTGGGCAATATGGGCAAAAATTCATATCTCTGTATTTTCTGGGCGATTTGCGATTATACTGTGTGTGTGTGTGTATATATACAGTATCTCACAGAAGTGAGTACACCCCTCATATTTTTGTAAATATTTTATTATATCTTTTCATGTGACAACACTGAAGAAATTACACTTTGCTACAATGTAAAGTAGTGAGTGTACAGCTTGTATAACAGTGTACATTTGCTGTCACCTCAAAATAACTCAACACACAGCCATTAATGTCTAAACTGCTGGCCACAAAAGTGAGTACACCCCTAAGTGAAAATGTCCAAATTGGGCCCAATTAGCCATTTTCTCTTCACATTCATTACCAAATGAAATCACACACCTCAAATATTTTTTTAATATAAATATATGCATTTATTTTATTCTGTTTGTTCGTTCATTCATTCAGTCATTCTACATTTTCAGACCAGAGATGGAAGAATAAGTTCTGGGGAAAGTCAGTGGAAATCGTTTCAACTGGAATGGTTAATGTCACTCTGCCAAAGTGAGTATGGTTCAACTGAGCTCTCTACACAGTTGAGAATCAAATCATTTTATTTAACTTAAAACTTAAAATAGTCAGTTATTGAGAGATGTTAAAAGGGTCTTTGGATATTCATTTTCATTCAGTTTTAAGTTTTATATCCAGATGTGGCCATTTAAAATGCACATTGAAGGGAAAGGATCACACATGGTCACACAGTAGCACACAGAGCCTCCAGGAATTAGTGTTGTCAAAAGTACCAACATAAAAGTACTTGCTTGTCAACAGTAAGAAGTGATGATCATTGAAGCCAATCACAGCCGTATCTGTTGAGCACGCGTGCACACAATGACCAATCAGCGATGTTTAAGAATCGCTGTTAATTTAATAAATGCGTAATTAAGTTTAATAATTGTGAAATAATTGCAATGCTCTGGCAAACCGCTATAGAGTTGGTGTCACTTTAGAGTTAAAACTGGTGAATGCTGTTTACAGGTTTCATAGAAAGGGAATGATGTGCGCCAAATGAGTCGCTGTAGAATACTTGAATGGTTGCTGAAGAAATAACTCAACACATGAGCCAACGCAAATGCAATGACATGAAATAAAACATGTTTTAAAGAAGAGTGGCTTGATTAAGTGTTGGAAACAACAGATGATGGGCACAGAACGGTAATAAAACGGTAACAAAAATAAGACATCTACAGTTACACACAGGTGTAGTGTGCAAACTCTACTGCATGGGGATGTTTAGATAACTATAGGCTATAAGAATTCTAACAAGACTAACAAGACAAACTGAAGAGCCCATAATCTAAAAGCAGTGTGTGAAGCATTATATTATATTAAATTTAATGTAATTAAATGTACATTTAGTTTAATTAAAATATGTTTTGACATGTAAGAAGTCATTGTACTATAAAAACATCATGTAAGTTTCAGAGTTTGCACTTAGTTATGATGAAAGCATTTGTGTGAGTGCAAAACTCGAGTTGCAAAAAGATGAGATCACTGCATTCATGTGCTCAGTCTCATCGGCTACAATGCTCATCGCTGCAACCTTTCATGTGACAGGAGTAGATCTAAATAAATGCTATAATCAACACTCCCCATGATTAGTTCATCTCAATAGCCGTAATAGTAAAAACTTCAAAAGTTGAGAACGCTCCACATGTAATACAAAGTAAAGATTTATGTATTACATGTAAAACATATGCAAAGATGTCAGCCAATCATAGCAATGGGTGTTTCCACTGAAGTCTAAAAGCAGACCAACAGAGCGTTCAAATCAAGAGGACTAAAATCAGGGTAGAAAATTTCCTTTTATTTCTAAATGATCAATTTTTATGCAAAATGCAGTTCAGGACGTCTTTAAAATAAAACATGTATAAATATCCCATCTTGCTGGGAAAGACTGTTTAGGCTAATAGAACAAACAAATTGACAAGTTCATATTCGTGTTTTCTCGGTCCTTACAGACAAGCAATATGCATTCCATATGATGTGAGCTTAATAAATAAATCTAAATAACAAAATAAAGACACTGCATTTTTTGCAAGTGCAGATGAAGTGATGCTGTAAAATACTAAATGTTTTCATCATCTTCATCAAGTTTTAATCCTAGACCTCTTCATTAGTCTTTTTTTGCAGAAACATTGACCAATAAATGACTTGTCACGCTTTACAGTAGTTACACTGAAAAAATGCTTTTGTTTTCTACCCATACGCAGGGCTGAGCCTGTTGTCATTTGGGTTATGTTTTTTTCAGAGATGGGTAGTTTTGTTAGGTTTTATTTGTTCCTGTATGAAAATGCACATTGTAAAATCTGGAAAACAGTTAATATCCTGTTAATTCCATTCCAATCATATTGCATGAACTCGGAGAAGATAAAAAAACGGTAACACTTTATTTTAGGGTCTCTTAACTAATTGCTTATTAGCATGCATATTACTAGAATATTAGCGATTTATTGGTACTAATTAAGCACATATTAAAGGGATACTCCACCTCAAAATGAAAATTGTCAATCACTTAACCCCATGTTGTTCTAAACCCGTAAAAGCTTCGTTCGTCTTCGGAACACAATTTAAGATATTTTGGATGAAAACCGGGAGGCTTGTGACTGTCCCATTGACTGCCAAGTAAATTACACTGTCGCGGTCCAGAACAGTATGAAAGACATCGTAAAAATAGTCCATCTGCCATCAGTGGTTCAACCGTAACGTTATGAAGCGACGAGAATACTTTTTGTACGCAAAGAAAAAAGAAAAAAAAAGACTTTATTCAACAATTTGTCTCCTCTGTGTCTCTCCGCATCACCGTAGCGCCATTTTGGAGAATATCCACTGAACGCAAACTGCATACACTCTTCTGTGTCAGCCGCGACACAAGGATACGTTTTCTAAGTGTATTTACACTTTGATTTGAATGAAAACAGCGCATCCGTGCAGCGCGGCTGACACAGAAGAGCGTATGCTGCTTGAGTTAAATTTAAGCCGTTTTGTTTCCAAATTTCCAAAATCCAAATTTTTGTTTCCTTATTTAAATCTGTCTTATTTAACTAATTTAAAGTTGCATCTTTGGGACATGTAATGCATTGCATGAGTTTCTCTATTTCTCAACACCAAGCTTAAAATGCATATCAGTCATTTATGTAACTCATCTCATTTGTGCGTTATTGGATATGATGAAGTAGATCAATTAAAGCAAATCGAGTTATTTTACCTGTAAACGCCGTTGTTGACTCGTCTCTTCTCTAGCCGTAACATGGTCTTGCTCTCGATTCTCATAAAGAACACAAGATGGCGCCATGTATCGGTGGATCCGATATTACAAACTTGATATCCGATAATGGAAAAAGGCTTAAATATCAGGAACACTGATTTTCGGTTGATCTCTACTTTAGACTCCACCGTGTGGAGATTGTGTGATGCACAACAAATGTGCCTGCTGCAGGGTGCTCCATGATCACACCTGACTAATTGCGTGCTGTGTGTGTGGGGGGTGGGTGAGTGTGAATTCTTAAAGGCCATGTCTGTATCATCCAGGACCCAAAGAAATCCAATGAAACTATTTTGAATTAACAAGTAGTGTACAATTTATTTATTTTTTTCTTCTTAAATGGAGCAAAATAATCTGGTCACTGTATATGATTATTTTTTTCTGATCTTTTCTCTTCAGCTACGGTGATCATTATGAGTGGAATAAGGCAGTCACTTGCATCCACAATGTGTTCAGTCAGCAAAGATCGCTCGAGCACTACGGTGACGTCGTCATTCGTAACCTCAACAACGATGAGTGCACCTGCAAGATCACATTTGTCAAAGTGAGTTTTAGTTGTTTTTGTGTTCTCTTCACCTAAAAAGAGTAGTTCTCCCATAATTGAAAATTCAATCATTATTTACTCACCCTGGTGATGTTTTAATGCTTTCTTTTTCAGACCACAAAAGGGTTCAAGCGTTAAAAGAAATGCAGAAGTATCAAAGAATGATCGTATATGACTGGTGCCATAAGTGTTCTGATGGCATCCTATAGGATTTGGTTTAAAAAAATAAGCAAAATAAATGAATAGTGTTTTACTTTGTGAAAATCCTGGCCTTGGCTATTGGTCAGTTGGTCCACGCTATTGGCACAGCACACAAGTGCACACAGTTTTGAGTAGTCAAGATTAATCTAAATGATACATAAAACACAACACCCAAAAAAAAAACACAAAAAAAAGTATTTACATTTGTGTGTATAATAGGGGTTGCACCGACTAGTCGACTTCAATGCTCTGCCATGCTTTAAGCTTGACATCGACTAGTCACTGGTCCTATAGGATAAGAAATCTTTGAAGGAGTTCCACATTTACGCTCCGTTTCCAAACAGTTCAAATGACAAATAAATGCATACTCTGAAAGCGCTCCACAAGACATGTGAGATTATAGAATCTCAGACACAGAATCATTCAGCACAGAAATGTCTTGTCAACACTGTTCTGTGATTTCGCAATAAAATAGCTTAGAAACTGAAAAGTTAAAGCATATATTTCTTAAAAACTAAATCCCACAGCTTCACTACTAGTAGAGAGACGCTGCCAGGTAGAATTAATTCACACACGCAATCACTCTCACTAATGCATTCATATGAATGTAATCTTTACTGTGCTACTTTATCTGTATCTGATTTAGAACGAGCAGAAATCTGAGAAATATAACGACCCAAAGACAAAGAACTGATAAAAATTAGCTGTTATAGGAGCAATAGCCATGTGGGCAGCGCTGTCATCTGCCATAGCTGTGCACAAGGTGTTTGTCACAGCTCCAGACTTATTTGTTCATTAATGACGTCATCACATAAAAGTCGACTTTAAAAAATCAGAAGTCGTTCAACCCCTAGTATATAATGTTTCTTTCTTCTCTAAGGTGAATATCTCCAGACTAGAATTCTAGTTTTCAGTTGACAGTTTGAGAAATGAAAAGTTCTCACATTCACATTTGTTTAAATCAAATGATTAAATCAAGATGAAATGATCTTCATTTCTGCTGCGCTATAATAGTCTCATGAACACCCAGTCAATTATAGCAGATCGGCCAAGGTCAGGATTTTTGCTAAATAATTACAGGTTGGAATTTTTGCTAAATAATAATAAATATAAATTACATTACTGCTTTTTTAAAAATTTTTATTAAACCTATTGTGTGCCTTCAGAAGACTTGGGTAATTTATATTAGGGGTGTAACAATACACGTATTCGTACTGAAAATGTTAGTAATTTTTCCCCCTGCTGTACCAAAACCATACCGAACTGTGACGTCAAAACAGAGGTACGTACCGAACCGGTATGTTTGCGTATCTAATACATACTTGATCTGTGATACATTGAATAGTGACCAGCTTCAAGCTTTCACAAGATAGAAAAAAAGTCAGTCCCATCAAATGGACCAGCATAAGCTTTTTTTATTTCTCCTTTTGTGGTCTGAAAAACAAAGGCATTAGAAAACACCAGGGTGAGTGAACAATGACTGAAATTTGAGTGAACGATCCCTTAAAAAAAAGTGGAAACACTTTGATGGATCTTACATCTAATATTTGACAGAAACATTAGTTGAAACTTTTTTTAAATTAAACATTCAAGTGTGTATTCCTCATCTTAATTACCTGAATAGCTCTGTGGATGTTTTTTTAGTCTGTTCAAGAGGCATGTCTGAACTGCTCATGAAACTTGATTTGGGTTTTATTTTTTCTTTTGTAGTCATGATCTGTGTCACAGTTGCAATTTCATCTTCACTACACTTTTCACAAGACAGATCTTTATGCAGAGACCTTGAATAGCATTGCTGTAGAAGAGTAATTAGCTGGTGAAATGGATTTACCTGTTGTAGAGTTAACAAAACTTATGTGCATTGTGATGTTTGAAGCAGATGTCATAATTGTCAATAGACTGGTAAGATTTTCAAATGAGCAGTTCATAAATTCATAAAAATTAACATACCAAAAGAAAAGTTTATTAAAAACCAGAATATTAGAATATTGAGATGTCTATATATATGTCTACAAACATGCAAACTTTGGAAAATGAATATTGTATTGCAAAGGCTGATTTCCCCCCCCCCCCCCCCCCCCC